GCGTAGTTTCGTACAGGTCCAACTGAAGGGATAAGAAATTTGGAATATCCTACTGCGTCAGACAATTCTGTTACGTGAGTATGGAGAGGCTAATTGTTTTAAAAATCGGGATTTAGCATGGGATTGAGTGCCTAACCATAAGTGATAAATCTGCAAGAATAATATGGCATTATCTTAATCTTACCTCCTTAAAAATCAGCATTCATCATTCAGAATTTGACCTGAGCTTGAACACTAAAATATGGCCCTAAATGAAAATACACCACCCTCTTAGCACCTTTTATAAATATAAGGATCCATAACATTTCTTTTAAATAATCGATCTGTACAATGTTTATTCAGTTATTTCCTTCTTTTTATATTATAAACCAAAACAAAATTCCTGTGTTGATTACCGATCAGTGTTCTGTTCGAGATTGAACAAATTTTAATAATCACCCCGGCTCCAATTAAATATAATCGAACGTTGTAAGCCCGGAGATTACACGACTGATCAATAATAGGAGGAAAGCGTTCTCTATATTTTCTTTCAAACTCATTATCACGTCCCCACCTAAAAAAAAATAAAAATAGCGCTTATAAAAAATCTTTAATTAATCACGTGGATTCAGACTCAAGAGATGAAGATGTCCATTATTCAATTTTCAGTAATTTTCATCTTCTGCTTTTGGAAATTTATCACAGTCTTCCAGAGCGATTTACTCACAGGATTTCAAAATAATTGTGAAATATAAAATTCGAAATAAACAAACAGATTTTGAAGAGATTCGGAATGGTTTGCAATGATACCAGAACGCGTTGTATTTGGCAGATATCCCAATCATTTCTACCATGGTGACTATAGCAACAGGCACAAATTTTATGACCCTATCCGCATAGTCTCCGATGCCAAATTGGCCCAGGCTTAGCCACTGTAAGACGAACTTCCGAAAATACACAATTACGTATGTACAGACTGAGATAGATAGATTCTTTTAATAAGTGAATATTGGTCGTTTATTTCTCATAACTACAGGTGGCCGACACTATTTTTGGGACACTTTGAAAAGTGTGCTTAAAGGTGTTTTTTGCTGCCGAGAGCTTTTGTGTTGATGAGTAGGTAGTTCAGCAGTAACTGTCCATTAATGGTATGAACTTTGATTGATGGGTTTGTCTTTGGTTTCATGTTTTCTTTATTTTTACTTCAACTTAGGCGACACTATTTTTCGGACATGACACAAATTCCTGTTTTTTTAATGATTTAGTCGTCGAATGTCTACAATATGCAAATTTTCTGCAGGTAAATTGTACCCTGACCATTACATTTGAGTATCTTTTCCATTCACTGAGAAAACGTATTAAAATCCCGAAGAAGAATGCATTCAAAAGAAGTCATCAGTTTGGTCCAAAAGAAGAGAGAAGATGGGCTCAGCATCCGAAAGATCGACGCTGAGATGAAGCTACCGAAGTCAACAGTTGAATACATGCTAAGTACAGACTATGAGCGGAAGAAGAAGAAAAGAGGACGGAAAAAAAAACAATTTCCAAGAGAACAGAAAGAAGAATGAAGAGGAGCGTTACGAGGTTGTTATCATCTGGAGAAAAGGTGACAGCGAAGAAAGTAAAGGAGAAGTGTGAACTTGACGTCAGTGTTCGAACTGTACAAAGAAAGCTACACGAAATTAGACTTAAGTACGCTAAAATCAAGAAAAGAATTACCCAAGGAGGCAAGGCTGGGAAGCGCTAAAAGATGGATAACAAACCATGTCGACTTCAAGAAAGTGATATTTACTGAAGAAAAAAGTTTTAAGTTCGATGGACCTGACGGGTGGTGTACATGGTCGAGAAAAGGTGGACCTGTTATTCTCAACAAGAGACAGATGGGAGGTGGAGGAGTCATGGTTTGGGGTATGGCATTTCCGAATGGAAACTTATGGCTCGAGTGGTTAAAAGGACGTCAAAATAGCTTGAACTACAGAGAACTTTTGGAAAAGAGAGCTCTACCATTCATAGAAAAAGAAATAGGAAGTAATTTTATGTTGCAGCAAGATAACTGCAGCATCCATGTGGCCAAATCAGTGAAAAATTGGATGTGTGAAGCAAATATAACTACTCTGGAATGGCCTGCAAGAAGTCCAGACTTAAATTTAATTGAAAACATACGGGAAATGCTTGCAGAGCTTGTTTACGACGGGCCAGAAAAAAGCAGAGAGGCTGAACTGTGGCAGCGCATACAAGATGCTAAAAATAGACTGCTAGAAACACGAAGAGACGTTATTATCAATATGTATGAACATTATGAAGATAGATTTATAGAAGTCATTGAAAAAAAGGGTGCTGCCATAAACTATTACCATTGTTTCTGCAATGTCCGAAAAATACTGTCGCCTGTGTAATGTGAAAATTTGTAAAAAAATAAAAATACTTCTAATTTGAATTCTGCTTTTCCATTTGTAGTATTGAAACAGTTTTTAAATGTTATTGCCATTACACTAAAACAGTACAGACTGACTGTGCTACCTAAAACTTGAAAAAATAAAGTGTCTGAAAAATAGTGTCGGCCCCCTGTAATGTGGTTAATTTTGGGAGGATCTTATTCTCACTGCACATGTATAGTTGACATATTATAAGCCCAAGCGACATCGAAGGGAGCAATATTGTGGAAAGAATACCCGAAGATTTTAACATGATTAATAAATTGATTTTTTTAACGTGTTATCAACCTTTTGCAGGTTATTTAAAGCCAGCAAATATTTTAGATTTTAAGAATATGTTGGAGATAATAATGATTTACAGATACAAGTTTTACAATTTAACCCATATCTGGGGGGAAGACGTCTATTATACCTTTACCAAGTGTATATGCGGGTAAGTGAATATAACAAACCCGACTGGAATTGAAACTCGGCTCTCTGACCTCCAATTCTGTTTTCCATAAATCACCCGCGTTTCCAAGCTTAGAGAAACTGGTATTCTTGAACGGTCACCCATCTAGGTAATCTCCAGGCTTGACGTTGCTTAACTTCGGTGACCGCGCCAGAGCCGGTGTTTCGACGTGATATGGCCATAAGCCCGGAAATTGAACATTGACATCACATGCAGGAGGGAAACAGAGTGCAACCTAATTAACTAGATTGTCCGAATGGAATGGAGGATAAGAACCAAAAGAAATGGCAAAAGACCAGAAGCTATTTGGAGCAGCAAAAGGCAGAGGATCTATAACCGCCAATATTCTATACTGAAGGGCCATAGTACTTAAGCGTCCCGGATATGAAGATAAAATACATCGCGTCTTGGGTAAGACGACAGACTACGTCCGATTCGAACTTGGCTCTCTGATTCCTCTATCCGAGCCACTATCCATTACTCCTCCACGCATCCATAATCCTTCAAGATTCCAATGCTGTAAAATCACTTTTTTTTATAATCAGTCTATGATCCTTATAGCTCACCTGATAGATAGATACATAAATAGATAATGAACATCCTACGATAGATAGATATTTCTCGCATATTCAGGTTGTTAAATGTAATTAATACTGTTTAATTTATCGAATATTCAGGTTGGTAAATGCAATTAATACTATATAATTAAAACAGAGCATTTATTCATGTAAGTTGCATCCATAAAAAAACGTATAAACAGAAAATATATTAAAATATTTCTCAGATTTAATTCATGACATAAAATATGTTGTCATTGTTTATGTTAGGTTACGTTTTGGAGCAGAAATGAATTATCGAGAAAGGTTGTAGAATATGTGTGTTTCTAAGTAGTAATCTGAGCTTTGCTAAACCGTGAGTTATCAGTGGCTGAAAGGTTAACAGCACGTCTGGCCAAATGACGGTTTCCGAATGGAATACAATTTCGATTCCCCGTCCTGGGTATGACGATAAAATACATCCGCGTTTTGAGTAAGACGATAAACTACAGGGTGTTGCAGCAAAATCCGACTCTTGACATAAAAAAAAGAAATTGGCAATAAAAACAAGAGTTGTGTATGCAGATACCCGACAGTTTGACAACTAACTAACGTTTTTCTCTCTACGCTTTTCTAGGATGGAATATGAGCACAGAGCAGTGGTAGTACCTTCGTTTCGCGTCGGGACGAAGCCTGGGGAGGTGATCGCCTGGTTTAGGTTCGAGAGGACCATGGTCATGGACATTTGGAGGAAGTGGAAGGTTTGTGAGTACAAAGAGGAGTTTACTGCCAAACGAAATGCCGACAACGTTCGTTCTTCGGCCGTTAGGACCGTCGACTTCGTCGCCGCCGCCAAGGAGACAGTCGAAAATGATGGAAGCCAGAGCTACGCCATGTTCGCCGCTGACATGGGCTGTCATAAGTCGACGATCTGCCAAACGATCAAGAAGGACATTGGTTACTCCTCTTACAGCAAGTCTCACCGCATACTCATCACGAATGCCTCCAAGGATTCGAAGAAGGGCAAGACGGCGTCTTTGTTGAACGAGCTCAAGCACGGGTCCCCCGGGATGCTGAGGTTCTTCTCTTATGAAAAGAATTTCATCCAGGACCAGACGAGCAACAGACAGAACGACAAATGAATTTGCAAAGACATCGAGGAGGTTCCCGTCGTGAATCATATGAAGTTTCCCTCCTCCGTCATGGTCCTTGGCGCCCTCTCCACTGTTCGAGACGTCATGCCTCCGTTCTTCTTTCAAAAGGTCCTGAGAATCAATGCTGAGATCTACAAGGAGGTGCTGAGGAGCGTGTTGAAGCCCTGGATGGACGAGATCGCCACCAGACGCCCCTACGTCTTCTAGCAGGACTCAGCTCCTGCACACAAGGCCAGGACGTCTCAGGCGTGGCTGCTCAACAATGATCCTCACCAATGGTCGCCCGACTTGTGGCCGCTCACCTCACCCGACTGCAACTCCCTTGACTGTTTCTTCTGGGGCGTGATCGAGTCCAAGACCAACAAGAACGCCCACAACACTATCGACTCTCTGAAGGCGGCCATCTTAGAGGCGTTCGCGGCTATGGACAAGGAAATGGTCGCCAAAGCATGTGACTCATTTCGCGCCCGTCTTGAGATGATCGTCGCCGGTGGCGGCGGTTATATTGAAAAATAATGTAGTATGTAACTCTAACTGTTGCTAAATAAACTGTCGGGTCTCTGCATATACAACTTTTGTTTTTATTGCCTATTTCGTTTTCTTTTTGCACAGTGACGGATTTTGCTGCAATACCCTGTACGTCCAACAGCAAGGACTCGGATCAGGAGATTTTGAGGAGCATGGAACTAACTCTTAATTGTTGGTGTTCCCAGGTCCACCATGACCCGGGGTGGTAGCACCTATTAGGGTCCCAGCTTTGGGCATTTAGTTAACCCCAAAACTGTGGTCAAAGCACTGTGAATGCATAAAATAAGTTTTAATACAGTGTAACCCGGATATAAGAGACCCGGATATAAGAGAAACCCGGATATAAGAGAGATTTTCTCTGGTCCCAAATTAGAGCCTGTGTTAATTTATATAAAATAGACCAAACCCGGATATAAGAGACTTCTTCTCAGGTCCCGACAACTCTCTTATATCCGGGTTACTCTGTATCAGAAATACATTTTTGAAAAAAATATCACTAGGAATGAATTTTTGAAAAAAAAAACTAGCAACAATATATTTTTAGAATATACATTTTGTCGGCATTTAAACCAAACCATTGTACTCAATGAAGAAAACATGAAATCTATTCTCTATAGATAAAAAGAAATGTCGGATATTTCGGAAGAATTCTGGCCTTAAAGAAAATCCCAATTCAATTAAGAATATAGCAATTGCGGGTAAGACTGCAAAAGTCACCGAGGACATTGCTTTGCTGCGAAAGATAAACATGGGATAAAGTTCCCTGAAAAAAAAAATATCAAGAAAGATAGTGGAAGAAAATTGTAAATATAGCGTTCAATAAAGTTAATGAGAAAAGAGTTTTAAAGAAAGTACCATTTCATTTTTACTTAATAAGCCGAGAACCTTTTTTTTACGCCATCCAATATTGCAAAGATCTTAACGGAAAGAAACAAAACGTTAGAAAAATGTAAGTCGATACATTGGTATCGCCTTTCTCCAATTCTGATTTTTAAATATACACACATATAAAGACATGCTTATGGCACGTACATACACGCAGGCACACAGCGCGATCGCGCACACATACACGGCTGCACACACACACACACACACACACACACACACACACATATATATGTGTGTGTGTATGTGTGTGTGTGTGTGTGCGTGTGTGTGCGTGCAAATATTCTCAAATAGAGAGTATTTGTAGAGGAGACAACATGAATAAAGAGAATCAAGATAATTGCCTTCATAAAATCCCATAGAGAACGAAACGCGTGGACTAAGAATAGATTTTCCTCTTGTCGTTTTTTATTCATATACAGTGTAACCCAGATATAAGAGTTGTCGGGACCGGAGAAGAAGTCTCTTATATCCGGGTTTCTCTTATGTCCGGGTTTGGTCTATTTTATATACATTAACATAGGCTCTGATTTGGGACCAGAGAAAATCTCTCTTATATCCGGGTTTCTCTTATATCCGAGTCTCTTATATCCGGGTTACACTCTATATGAAACTTTGATTAAATAATACAGTGTAACCCGGATATAAGAGAGTTGTCGGGACCGGAGAAGAAGTCTCTTATATCCGGGTTTCTCTTATGTCCGGGTTTGGTCTATTTTATATACATTAACACAGGCTCTAATTTGGGACCAGAGAAAATCTCTCTTATATCCGGGTTTCTCTTATATCCGGGTCTCTTAGATCCGGGTTACATTGTATATGTATGTATATTGCCAAAAAGTTTAGATCCTTTGCTTTCGACTAATATTCTTCACACACACACACACACACACACACACACATATATATATATATATATATGGGGAGAGAGATTGATGGATATAGATGAGAAATTAACTAAATAAAGAGATATGATCAACTATATATGTGAGCGATTACGTATCCATACAGGTGACTAAATAACTATTTAATCAATGGGGTAGACAGAACAGTTAAACAGAGCTATAAAGTATATTTTAATAATTAAACATATAGAGTTCGACTCAGAGTTTCATAGTTTACCCATTCATGAGGTACAAAAATTTATGAACCGCCCAATACACTTGTTTTAATGAATTCTGGGAGTCATGGGAACAACGCTACATTGTATATGCATCCAAAGTTTACGACTATTACAAATATAATATAGTATTCGATATAAATTCAAAATATTGAGTATAGATATGTAGGCATCGAAAAATAAACTAAGGTATTTAGTAAATTTACTAGATACCACTGATACGTTAATGTATATTGAGTTAATGGATAAGATTATGGTAATACGAACTCAAAAAAGCTGGTAGTTACCAAATAAAAGGCGCGGGTAGACAAAAAATAAAATTTAAGGAAAAAGAAAATATGACTAAGAAAATCAAAATTTATCTGCGTGTTTTGTCCTCTGATGGCCGATATCATCAGAGGACGAAACGCGTTGGTAAAGAATAGTTTTCTACTGTCTTTATTCATATGGTTTTTTTTAGAGATATATTTTTATGATATCTGATTTTTTAGACAGACACGTACAGAAACACACATACAGACACACATATATATACATATCAATTTTGCACACACACACACACATATATATATATGTATGTGTGTGTGTGTAAAAATTCAGATATAAAATACATACATATGCATACATATAAATTTTGCACACACATATACATACACACACACACACATATATATATATCTATATATGCGTGTGTGTTAAAATTCAGATATAAATACATACATATGCATACATGTGGATTTTGCACACACATACATATATATATATATATGCGTGTGTGTTAAAATTCAGATATAAATACATACATATGCATACATATGAATTTTGCACACACACATACATACATATATATATGCGTGTGTGTTAAAATTCAGATATAAATACATAAATATGCATACATATGAATTTTGCACACACACATACGTATATGTATATATATATATATATATAAAAGAAATATGTTGTAGTGGTTCCAACGAGAGAAAAGTATGTATATTAAAAAGAAGAGGGTGCCGCAAACGTTTTTGGCTGTAATGTGGATTTATTGAGAAAAATATATACTTTGTTTTACATAATTTCACGACACGTGTTTCTGGTCTGGTCTCGCAACCGTCTTCAGGTGAAAGTGGAGATTTTTACATATTATTAAAAATAATTAATTTTTTCTTCATGTTCAATGTGGAATATTCTCGATATGAGACGTTCTGTTTGTGTGTTGGCAATCCGAATTTTCTTTCTAGAATTGTCAATGAAGAGTTCTGCGTGAAGGGTCATAAAACAATTAAGGTTTGTCCAGCGAGAAGTTATCGGCATTTAATCTTTTAATGTTTTAGTGACCTCTATGTGCTCTTGGATCTGTTTCTATTTTGGCGTGTTCCTGTCAGCATGCGTGTATATATGCGTGCGTATATTTCCTTATTTGTACTTATACACGCATACACACACATATACGCACATACACATTATCCCACCACAAGTAGTCAGTACACACACACATATACACACATATTTCCCAAGCTACATGGAACCAGTACACACACATACACACACACACATACATACACACGCACACACACACACACACACGTACTTCTTAAGTTGTCAACATCCGCATATACATACATAAATGTATGTATGTGTACATACACATATATATATATATCTCCTCGTGTCTCCCGTATATGAGTGTGCGTCCATGTATGTGAGCGATCATTGTATTTGTATATATATATATATTCGTGTGTGTTAAAATTCAGATATAAATAAAAAGATATTGCATAAATTGTATATGTATATAGAATTAAAGAGAGAAAAGAAGGAGCTAACTTATATATATATATATATATATATATATATATATATATATATATATATATATATAGAGAGAGAGAGAGAGAGAGAGAGAGAGAAAGAGACAGAGATAGATGAAATACCCCTTTTTTCTTATGCTTTCACTCTCTGTAACCCCTTGCGTTGCGTGATAGTGGCACTTCTGCCTTGCTTGGTGTGAAATGCTTAAAAAAAACCTCATTTTAACAGATATATTTGCCAAAATTGCACAAAAATATCTTGAAATACTAAAGACTAAATTTTTCAATAAAATCGCCTTTGGCTTCAGCCACAGCCTCCAGACAACTTCGGAATCTTTTGCAACACTTCTGGACGGTCATCTTGTTTAAGTTGGTGAATGCTACCATAATCCTTGCCTTCAATTCATCTTTGGTATTACAAGGAGTTTTGTTGGTCTCTCATTCAACTCCGCCCCACACATAATAATCAAGAGGATTGCAATCTGAGGATTTAGGTGGCCAGATATAAGTGTTGATGTAATCTCAGAAATTGTCTGGCAGCCATCACTGTTTTCTCCTACTTGAGTGGCATGGTGCAGAGTCATGTTGCCATACATAGGGTCTTCCAGCAGCCATTGTCTTGATCCAGGCCAGCACTATCTCCTCAAAGCAATTGATGTAAGCTTCTGTGTTGAGTCTGAGTCCACCAACAAATTCAGTTGTTCTTTTCTTATCAGAACCAGCTGGGTTTTCCGAACTGACAAACCTTCGTAATCACCATTAGACTCATACAATTATTTCTTAAACCTCTGCACCGCCATCAGATTGACACCAAAGCGAACTGAAATGTTCGTATTGAAGCTTTTGACACGAATGCCAAGCAGTACAGCATACCTTTTCCAAATTTATGACTGAATGAATTGCGTCTTGGTGCTCTTTTCCTCACAGACGGCGCTTAACCGACCCTACTATACTGCAGAGTCGACAAAATCAAAAATAAACAACGCGCATGCGCAAAATTAAAAATATAAAATGGCGACAATTTACTCATTGCATTCTGTGTATGCATATATATATATATATATATATATATATATATATATATATATATATATATATAATCTGGTGATCTTATAGATATTTTTATTTTTACAATGTGCTCAACGTAAATTTACAGAGCATTAATATATAAATTAACTGATTTAAAATAGGGCTTTTTCGCTACACGTTTCTAACCACCCCATGTCGGGATAAATGGATTTCTCTGTATCCTTGGAAACGTGAATTATGAATTTTTGCAGTGCCTTTAAAACCCAGTAATTTTAAAAATAAGTTACTCCAAAATTTGTTTGAGGATGAAATGGAACTAATGTCTTTAATTTAATTACAAAATTAAATTCGAAGCTTTTAGCTTCCATTTTTGAAACATGGTTAGAACTGTGTAGCGAAAAAATATTTTAAATCAGTTAGTTTATAATATATATATATATATATATATATATATATATATTTGAAATGATTTTTTAGCTGATATTTTTTTTATTACTATGATAGTTACTTTTAGTGGCTGCACGTGTTTGAGTGGCTATGTCAGTTTTATTTTATTTTATTAAACAGTGAAATTAAAAACAACCAGACTGAATTGAGAAGTCACCGCCCCCCCCGCCAAAAAAAAAAGAAGAAAAAATAGGGTCCTACGGGAATCGAACTTAGATCTGTATTTCTAATCCGGGAAACCACTTCCATCGTGGAAACATGCTGCTACAAGTATATTTTTATATCAATAAAGATTTTTATTTTTCTTCATTGTGTTCTTAACTCTCCCCCCTCTCTCTCTCTCTCTCCATCCTTTCTTTCTCTCTATCTCAATTTCTTAATATTTATCTATCTGCTACGGGCACATCACGTTGAAAGATCGCTCCCTGTACGATTGACAAAGTTAAGCAACGTCGAGCCTATTAATTATCTAGATGGGTGACCTCGTGGGAATATCATGTGCTGTAAGTTTGGGTATGCGGGGGTGTAATGGATAATTGGAATTATTAATCGGTTTCAATTCCATTGATTTCATTATATTCACTTTCCCCAGCTATGGATTAATCAGTAATACTTTTATCAGTAAACCATTGTCTCCAAGTCAATTATTACAATCTAAAAATATGTTTTTTATGGATTCAGAGTCCTTTTTAGAAAGCCATGAGGAGCTAAGGACTTGTGGTACTTTTTCGGAGATTATTCTAGATGGAAATTCATTTTAAAACCTAAATCTCACTTTGTCTAAGGTCGTCTCAGCTTTTGTGCTATTGGTGGTAAAGTCAGTTGTAATAAAAAGTGGATTTAGAGGTGTGTGGTGTTCTATGAACTCAAATAATAGACTTCACGCATAGGAACTATGTATGTATATATGTAGATATATATGTAATCTATTCAACATCCAATTTTTCTCTGCTCCATCTAAGAAATTCCAATCCATTTTCTGAGATCTTCTCTATGCCAATGCTTGTAAGTTGGTCATCCAAACAGAACAGAAAAATCAGGCCCTGATGGAAAATCTTTCTGAAAAGTTATCAATCTTACTATCAGTCTGAAGAATGCTTTGGTCATGTTCCAATATGGACATTCCCTCGTTCAATAAATTTGTTATTTTCTCTTTTTCAGCAGTTGTTAGATCTTTCCCTTTACCCATGTTTCAACATATATTATAAACGAAAAGAAAAATAGTTTTTATTAGATTTCAGAAGTTTTAAGCTAATATTAGTTTAATCTGCATACTAACTCCAGTCAGTCTATTTTCGTATATTCCAAATATCTCAAAAACTAATTGTCAAAAATGGCAGAAATTTAGTTAAATATTTTACTAAGGATAGGAATGAACGAGTTTAAAATCTGACAAATATCAGTTCAGATATGTTGGGGTTATTAAGGTTTATTTGATTTGCATAATAACTTCAGGCTGTGTCTATTTAAATCCGTTCGTATTTCTCTGTCTGTCTGTCTCTGTCTCTCTCTGTCTGTCTCTACATATATATACTACACTCAACTCTCCCGTCGAATTCGACGTATGAGGGTCAAGCAGATCAGTTCCTAGGAAACCGACAGCCCCATAACAGCAAAATGAGATTTGATTATAGTGGTGAAGGTTTCGAGCAGGACCATCCACACTTTTTTGAAGGGTTGAATACAGAGACCTTTTTGCACACCACGCCACAAAGGTCCCCAAACAACCCTCGGCAGGTTTTGAATTCAGAGTTGTCCTTCTCCTAGACCAGTTGCCACCCAAGGCTATAGAACCTAGTCTGTCCTGCTATTTACCCATAGCTGGAGGGAGAAGAAGGGTATTCACACTTTTCCCATATATATAGTATCTATCTATCTATCTATCTATCTATCTATCTATCTATCTATCTATCTATGTTCTTATTTCTATATCTATCTAACTAGTTGATATCTATTTCTCTTCATATCTGTCTTAATCAGTTCATATCTATTATCTGGTCTTATATCTTTCTCTCCCCTTCTGTATGTCAGTCTCTCTCTATATATCTATGGTCAGTTAATATATATCTATCTATCTATCTATCTATCTATGTATCTATCTATCTATCTATCTATCTATCTATTGTAGCCTTTTAATATACATATTCATATTTAATAGTCGTCTTGCATGTCTTCCATCTTGCCTGTTTTTCTTTAGACCACAATACTTACAACAAAGTTAAATTTATTATTGCTGTTATTAACAATATTTTTACTTTGACAGAGAGACTGAAATTAAGGTAATATGAACATGCGATACCATTATTCAATGTAGGGTTGATCAAATTCATGCCTTCTGTCCTTGAAGACCGTCTACATAAACAGTCCTGTGGAATGTATATGACAAAAAAGGAGAGGTGAGTTATCATAAAGAGAGATAGTTCTATAGAAGATCTGATCTGAAGTAGACTTTTTTTTTCTACGTAGAGAAGAGATCAGTACAGCTTGATAGAAATTCTTTACCCACAGAACGTCAAATTATTTAAGAATTACCTTCAGGATTATGATTTTATTATTATTCACATAATGTCTATAATTACATTATTCCGATAATTGAACTCGTCTTTATCGCCATTTTTTTTACAACGTTTCGTTGGTGGGAATTTCGAACTGAACTCTTTATTTCGCTCGCTGGGGTAGACTGTTCTAGTTCCACGTGCCATATTTAATGGATATCGGTTATCAGTTATCCCCCGTTAATTCCGCTCTCCAAGTTATCCACTGCCTTAGCCGGATATTGAACTCACACACTTTGGATGATGTCATTGGATCTAACTAACATCTTTATCCAATGTGCCATGTGTCCACATATGGAGAGAAAAGGGAGATCACTGCCATCTGTGGTATCAGGTTGAAATCATAGACAAAGAACACCATTGGAAAATTCGTAAACTTAAAGAATCAGCACATATGTTAAGCCACAAAAATCTCCTGAGCCGACCAAGCATAGAAATGAATACAATATTTGAACCAGTAATAAGGAGTGTCAGAGAAAAGCGATAATAACAACAAAAATCGCAATATGAGCTCAGAAGATAACAGATAACTGACATTCATTAAAACATGGCACATGGAACTAGAACAGTCTACCCCAGTTAGCGAAATAAAGAGTTCACCTGAAGAAGGCCGGAGCGTACAACGGCTGAAACGTTGTACTAAAAATGGCGACAAAGATGAGGACAATATTCCGAATAATGTAAATAGTGTACATAATACCTCATCTCAGAAATATAGTCAGATACGTTTCAGTTGGTTTTGTATTTTGTCTCCAAACACGCATTATTACTTTTCGAGCAAGCTATTCCATCGTGAGATTGTCTTTGGCCAGAATTGAGTAGCAAGTTACGAAAAGTTTCGATTGGTCGGATAATGACTAAAAACTGAGGAAGTAACACATGGCATTAGACCAATTTCATTATTCAAGTCGTTTCGCTTGTCTGATTTCTTTATATGCTGACGCTTAGTAAGAAACAGCGCTAGACAATTGCTTCATTTAGGAGAGATTTTTACATTTGGAAAGCACTGGGTTCTTTTCCCATTTATTGTAATACTCAAGCTGTCTCCTCTCTTTTAATCGACCACCTTTGTTTATACGATAGCCATCTTGGGTTATGGTTTAAAGCGGTCCTTCCAGAATGAGTTTTAAAAAATGCCGGCATTTTTATTTTGTTTGAATTTCTCGCATTTGTCAATTGTTAAGTCAGTGTATTGACCCAAATTGTAGCGTTATATAAAAAAAAGTGCAAACATTTTTTTAATTACATCGTATTATGGAAACGTTTTCTTCGTAGAAAATTTTGTCCTAACTGGTGCAACAGAAAAGTTAGATAGTGTTGTATCATACCTATTGTTATGGGAACTTACCCATAATAATAATGGACTATTCCTGACATTATAAATACTGCGCCTCTCAAGAGGTATCAGGAGATTGTAAGACGAGGAGAGATAATTGAGAGCATATTGTAAGGACATTGGAATAGTGATACTTGTCGAGACAACATAGTTCACTCTAACCAAATCTGACAGTCATTACTAATACTTCTACTTCTTTTGTATTATATTTCTGTTGTAATATATCTTTGTATTCCATACCTGTGTTCGTGTTATTCTTTCATTGGTTCTAACCTTGGACCATCACCGTGGTACAAGGAATTTGGACCATAACACCTATGGAAATTAATCGGTGTGTCCTCATTCACATAAATACAGTAGTAAATACTGTATGTTGGTCTGAAGTTGGAAATTCGTCTCCAGTTGTGCTGGTCAAACTTTCTGTTTGGGGACAGAGAGGATCCCCAGACGAGGCTCTGTCGAAGAAATAAACGGAATCCTGTGCAGAGTCACTATCGCCTCCATACAGAAGAAACATATTATTAATATGTGTCCATCGTATTATTATTATTATTATTATTATTATTATTATTATTATCTAATTTGCGTTATTTGGATGGATGTTGTGGTTCGGAATGAGAACTCGGAGAGCCGAGTTCGAATTCCAATCGAGTTCATTATATTCACTTACAATCAAATACTCTGGGGAAAGGTAAGAAGTTTCTTTCTTTCTATTTATTCTCCTCCAGCTATGGGTTGAAAAGCAGGACAGAGTGGGTTCTTTAACCTTGGGTGGCAACCAGTCTACCACAGAAAGAAATGGCAACTTACTGCGGGAAAATCTTCTTCCCCGTCAGTCATCTATCGAAAGATACATTATCACCCTAGCATGCATCACGTGTAGCACTTAACTGACTGATTATTATTATTATTCCATCTGTGATGTCATTACAGAACTTGGGCCAGCATGACCCTCCTCAACTTTCTATCCTTTGTAGCTCTTGTTTGCGGTTTCACTCTGCCCCTGTTTCCGTTCAGTAAGTCCTGTGAGTGTCAAATTTTCTAAGCTATCTTTTCTCATTATCTGCGTCTTTCTGATTTTAAGTATAGACATCCGTTTTGTTTTTGTTTTCTTTAAAACGTCCTAGAATATTGAATAGAGTAGAGAAGAGCGGCCCGAATAGTAATAGAGGATAGCACAGAAATAGTGATCAATTAGACACACGCTACCTCGCATATATGCGTTTCCTCTATGGTCACATGGTCTCCTTAATTCAATAATAGGATCGCCTGTGTTTGCTTACTGGCGATCTATGTTCAACCTCAAGTGTCGACAGCGACACTTTATTCCTATGTAACAACATGTTCGGTTCATACTTTGAATTCTTCTGCAGAACTGCGTTTCTGATGCCTCTAAAAAAAGTTGTCATGTATGAGACACATACATTTTCTTATTATTATATATACTTTTTTTCTGAATGTTTTCCCATTGTGAATATTTTAATATACCAGATACATTAAGTTATCTGTCAAATCACGAGAAGGACCACAGACAGGCAAAACTTTCATCAGAATATGCGCAGTGCCCAAAAGAGACGATTTTTGAACGACCCTAATTCTTCACACTACACGCAAGCCGCTAGTGGCCCGATAACGGGTTGCCGATGGCTACGCTAGCCTCTGGTGGCAGCCACCGGTGGGTCTCTAGCGGTCCGCCAGGGGTAGCATTGCTCGGACCAACCGACAGCGGGCCATCAGCGGCACACTCTAGTAGCATGCGGCCCAGTGGCAGATTAGTGGTTTGCGTGTAGGGCAGTTGGCCAAGGTGATAGAGTTCTAAATTAGATTGATCCCAATGCGGCAGTAACCACTGGAATTAACTTGGCATTCCCTTCCTTCATTCCAAAGAATCTTATCATCTCAATTTTCAAATCGGAGTAGTTTTTAATTTTTTTCAATTTCTTTGTTGTCCATATTTATGTCGTTAGGTGTGGCAACATTGATTATATGACAGCTCTTCGTGCCTTTGCTAATCACAGTAGTATCCCGGCGACGATAGTGATTATCCCTGTATCTGTCTAAAAATCATAGTCAAAAAATATTGCAGGCTTTTTGAGCAGACCAAGAACGGATCTGTCATCTGTAGTTATAAAGAAAATCTGAGTTTAGAAACCAGTAATGGTAAAATTTGCCACAGACAGACAAGAAAAATCCACCATAGATAGATAGTTTTGTGAGACCGTAACATACCTACAACATGGACTCTTCCAGGACTATATAAAGTATGCGATATAACACTCTAGGAGAGGAGGAGGAGGAGAGAGAGAGAGAGAGAGAGAGAGAGAGAGAGAGAGAGAGAGAGAGAGAGAGAGAGAGAGAGTATTCTAATACCGTAGTATCAGCCGCGTACGACTACCAATATTGGACACTAGCACATAGTAAGCTACGCTTACACTATCTTTGTAACCTTTTCGTTTAATATATCTTTCTTACCTCTAATCCGTGTTCCGTGTTTTCCTTCCGTGGTCCCAAATTTGGGTCCACATCAGATAGATAGATAGATAGATAGATAGATAGATATTAATAGAGTGAGATAGATAGATAGATTACTACCAATAAAAATTTTGTCGGAATTAAATAACCCATTGAGCTTGATATGCCGTAAAACAAACCAAACCAAAACAGAAAACATCCAATGATCGAACAGTTAGTGTTACTGTCGTTTGAGATTTGTAAAATCTTTTGAAAACATCTTTTTGTTAGGGAAGTCGACTTTTCATGTCCACTATCTGTTATCGCTCTTTTTGGCATTGATGTGAGTTTTGTTCAATGATTTTTTTTCCTTTTTGATAGTGTGGAAATTTCATTTATCCTTGTTTTCTCTTCCAGTTCCAAGTACCACCAATTTTTGTTGGTGTTGTTGTATCTATGGACAGTGTCCAAGTGGTATGTTTTTTGTTACTTGGTAAACTTACATAAAGAATGTGACATTTTTATCTATTTTACTCATCAAGGTTAGAGGTAAAACCTTATAGCCTCGTGATCTATCGAGAGATTGATTGGCTTCAGTCACCCACGATATAGGAGATGCTTTTCTAGCCAAGGAAATCATTGGACGCCGCCGTGGAATTGGACGTTTGGCCTCTGCCAACAAACGTACAATGTGTTACACCGCATTGTTGAATTGTTGTGCTACCGTACAATGACTTTGAATAGATCATGAAGGCATTATGCCTATTCTTCAATGTACTGCAGGCG